AAGGAATGCCCTGCATGATCCTTTCCCACCTCTTTGACCTCTTACCATTCATCTTGCTGCTAGCGTACTTTTGTTCTTTAAACACATCAGTCTCATTTCCTATCTTAGGACCTGTGTACTTAATGTTCCCTTTTCTGGAATGTCCTTCCCCCAGTTCAGACTTTATCTCCTCAGAGAAGAGTAGCCAACCCCTCTACTCCTTTAGCAGAATTGTCAGACTCTATTGACCTTTGAATGTCATTATACAGCTAAGATTATATTTTGTTTGGGCCTCGGACTCAGTACCAGATCAAATACTTAGGACATGTTAAAGAAAGTTAATTTTTCAGAGATAGTTAACAATGCTGGTAGAGAATAATTTTTAGATTTTAGAGTGCATCCTCCCTAAGGCGTCTTGACGTGAATTGTTGAAATGGTGAGAGCTGTCTTATCCCCTTCCACCAAGTGTATTGCAGGATGGTTAGAAGAATAGGGGGAAACTGAAAAGGAGATGCATGGAGTCCGCTCTGTAGAAATAATGAATGACAAATATGTGACAGTATTGATAATCCAGTGGATTCAAAGCAGTAGTAAATGTATGATTATTTTTGAAAGATGGAAATACCATTTGACAAAGACTATTTCAAAAGCTAATTTAAAGCTGTGAGTTCACTTCAGTTCAATGAATGTTTACTGAGCTGACCACAGAGAAGTAATAGGAAGTTGGGAGTGGGGGCCTTTGGTAAAGTTGCTGATCACCCTTATGCTGAATAAGTTCTTCCCCAGCTGAAGAACAGTAATTACTCTTTCGAAATATAAAGGTGACCTCTTGAATTTCAGGGCCAGAAAAAATAAATGGCCAAGCAATCAGGGAGTGTTTTATAATAATCCACTTGCCAATTTAGGGTTTCATAAAACTCCACAGAAGGAAGAAAATGACCTTTGTAGATCTTTTTGCGGGGGGAGGTAACTTTATTTTTTATTTTTAAAGATCCATTTTTGTAGTTAACTTGGTTGATGTGTATTAAATGTAACTTTTGTTATCTTAAACATCTACTCCAAGCTCATGGACTTTCCTTATATAGCTTGCCTCTCTTCATAATCTGGCACAAGAATGCTTTTTAGTGCTGAGTGTTTTCTTTTTCTTCTGGTTGCTTCTCACAGCAGTACTGGCCTTTCACCTGGTTTTGTATCTTATTTTAGAAGTGGCCTTGTTCTCGGATCTTATTTTAAATGTTGGTTAGTCTAAGCCTCGCTGCAAATGGCTTTCATGTCTGTGAAAGACAGAAAAGAAGTCGTCAGCATAAATTAAAGTGAGAACAATTTCACATGGACCTAGAAATAAAATTGTTATAAAAGACAGTAAAGATTAATGCCAAGCTGCCCCTGTCTTCCACTCATGGAAGAATTTGAAGACCAGAACAGCTAAATGACTTGCTCAGGGTTATAAAATGTTGATGAAAATTTATCATTCTCCTTATTTACACAAAGGCAATATAATACCCTAGTGAGCTGTACTTTGAACATATAAAACAAATAAGCTACTCATAAGGAAGGTGAATATACCAAACTGTTTAACTATCTTTGCGAAGCCTGGATGAGGCATTACCAAGTTTTCTTCCTAATTCTCCAGGTTTATCAGTATTCAGTTACAAACATCAGTATTTTTATATCATGATAAAGGCTGTGACCACATCTGGATTTGAATCTGGCTCTACCCCTTCCTGGGTTGTGACTCTCTGACTTTGGGGAAAGCTTCTCAACTTCTCTGACCTTCCATGTCTTAGCCTGAAAAATGGAAGTAACAATCCAGATTTTATTGAGTTAACTATAAAGGAGTTAACTTTGAAGTTCCTGCAGCTCGTGCCTGGCCCACAAGGAGCACTTCTGAGGGAGCGACCATCACTGCTACTACTGCTGCTGTCCCTGCTTTTATCATGGCATCACTGGGCAGTGGCATAGGATGTTCATTCTCAAATGATTTAGGTATTCATCTGCTTAAAGACTAGATGCTGAATTAGGCAGTTGTTTTTGTTTTTTTTTTTTTAACGTACCTTCCAGTTCATTTTATTGTTCTATTAATTCAGAGAAAGCACCATGGTCGTCAGTTTTTACTTACCCTATTAGAATAATACTTAACTCCTGGCTACTTCAGTCAGAGCCCGATCCTTATTATAATTAAAATAAAAATCTTGACCCTCTTTATTACTTTATACTAGAGAGCTTATCCTGCATTGCCAGGAAAAATTATTAACCATTGTTAAATTAAAAATCCCTATTGCTGCTCATCTTTGAGCACCCTCATAGAATTGCCATGTGAGAAGAAGATGCCCTTGTGACTTGAATGTGTAATTCTTTTTGGAAACCACTGTTTTCGCTGTAACTGGTATCTTAATACAAATAATATGCCTCTTTTGAACAGCAATTTCATTGGCTTTCCTTGTATTTCAGGAAGATCACTGCCCATTTCTTGAAAGTCTCCTTCAGAGCCCTCAAAGGAGATTTCACCCATGCCCCCTAGTTTCTGTTTTTGCCCAGGAAAATCTCAATTAAAATATCCTTTGTTGTTAGTGAATATCTGTATACATAATTTTTTGTGATGCAGTCCCAGAAAAAAATGTCTTTCATCTATGTAGATACACTATTGCCGACCTACCTAGAGATTGCATAGTCCCAGGTTAGAAACTCAGGGCCTTACAATTTTTTAATTTATTGTTTGGGACAGGCCTACATTGTTTGACCTATTTAAGGTACTAAGTAACAGCCAGAGTAAAACATCTGAGTATTTTTCTATATATTATTTGTAATGTTACTGTTGGTGAGGATGCTGTACTTTTCCAGTTTACAACTGAGGAAGCCTGTCATCATCATTAGTACTCATTCATTCAGCATGAGCACCTGTTTTATCTTAGGCACTGGAGATGTAAGTATGAATAAAACATGATTCCTGCTCTGGAAAATTTCATAGTTTATTGGGGGAGAAAGATAGAGACATATATAATTACATTTCTAAGTGATATGTTCTGTGTAATGAATATATGAACAAAATGCCATAGTCATATAGAGGAGGGAACAGTAAATTTGGAGGTGTATGGTAAGGTTACAAAGAGAAAGTAACATTTGAACCAAATCTTGAATGATAGGTGGGAATTTGCCATTTGGAGAGAGAGGAGCCAGGAATGGTCATTAGAGGCAGGGAGCAGCCTAACAAAGGCCAAAGGCTTCCCCTGGCAAGCTGTGTGAGGGGAGTGTCTCCAGGATAGCTAGAGAAAAGGCTTTGTGAAGGAAAGTGAGTCAAAGCTAGGAGTTTGAACTTTATCATTTGAGCAGTAGGAAATCATTGAAGACTTTTTGAGTTATGGCTGATATAATCAGGCTTGAGTTTGAAAACTCCTAATAGTTTAGGGCTGGAGAAAGAAAGACAAGTGGCAGACACCAGGTAAAAAGTTGTAGTTCTCCAAGCAAGACACAAGAGTTTACACTAAGACCATATGTGTGTAGATGTAAGAAAAAAAGAAAGGCAGGGGGTGTGTCTCTAAATTTGACAGCATTTTCCTAGGTGTAAACAGTATGATTTTGTGATCGGTATGATATGGGAAGTGTGGGCAGGAGGAGATCTGATTTGGGCGATGGGGTAGAGTAACTGAAATTAATAGAACTGGAGAAAGTGAAAAAGGAAAGGAAGGATTGTTCCTTGTTTTGTTTTTTTGTCTGTTTTGGGAGCAGACAAGGGTTTTCATTTTGCATAAGGTAGGGCCAGTGTTTTCAGGAACATTCTAGCACACACGTCTGGATCTGAATCTCAGTAGAGAGGTTACCATAGTAATATTTTTGAGTTCTTACTGTTTATTTTTCCATTAAAAACTAAGGTTCTCGGAGGTTAACTGATTATGGTCTCAGGAAGACGGCTGAAGAACCAAAACATAAATTCCTAAGCTTCTTACCAACTAGGCCTTAACTAAAATAGCCCTTTGGGGAAAAAAAAAAAAAAAGACAAAACTCTTGATTTCCACTATAATTGCTTTACTGTTTCATTTCTCAGAGTATCTTTACTTAAAAAGACAACAAAACAAAGCCCAACTTGTGTATATATATATCTATAATCTACTTTCTGTACTGTTTTCCGATTTTAATGTTTTTTGACAAATGCCAGTCAAACGAAGAAGGCTCAGGATAATAGCTGAGGAACCCCAAACCTCTTGTTTTGTTCTAACAAAACCTTAAAATTCAAAGATTAGAGAGTCCTCAGGAAATACTCATTATTTCACATATGTCTGATCTAATCCCAGTTGTTGCCCTGATTCCAAATGAGGGAAATGAGAAGTGTTGAAGAACGAAGGTGTTAGTGTCCACTTTTCGGCAGGAATTGAAAAGTAAGGTTTCCCCCACTATTTGGATTGTTGAGCCGTGACCTATTCTCTTGAACAACAGAGAATAAAGTAAACAGTTCTTCAAAATCCATCCTCACCCCCAGCTTTCGGGGGTCACCGTGTTCATTGAAACACTTGGGTGGTTGTGAAGAACTTGAGTAGGCTTCAAACAAGGCAGATCCTTGTACATATGTGACACTCTTTTTTCACATATTTTAAAAAAATAATTAGCATCCTTTATCCACTGTAATTCTAGTTTTAACTGTTACTGTGTTGATTTCTCTGTGAAGCTCGTTGGGCTGTGGTATTTTTCCTTTACTTTGTTCTTGATTGCTGTGAAATGTAGTTGCCTGCTGCTTAAGGCAGCTGCAGTAGAGTGTACCCAGAAGTGGTTATAATTCTATATTTAGTAAGCCATAGGGTTTGTAAAGCATTTGCAGATTCCTTCTGGATAAAATGGTTTCTATATATGTAACATTTTTAATGAAACTATTATTATCACCCATTAGGGAAATATAGCAGCTAATATGTGCAGATTTGTGGACAAGACAGAGGCACAAAACTTTTTTTCTTAAGAGTACGCTGAGTATTTTAAATACTTAAAAGTAATCATGTGAATCCTATTTTCATACTTTTAATCTTGAATTGCAGAGCTTTTACTCAAGTGTTTACCTTTGGTCCAACATTCCGAGCAGAGAATTCTCAGAGCCGGAGACACCTGGCAGAGTTTTATATGGTAGAAGCAGAGATTTCTTTTGTTGAGAGTCTTCAAGATCTCATGCAGGTAGGTACACAAGTTTTAAGACACTTTCTAAATAACAGATATCTGTGACATTAAAAGGCTTCTGTATACATTTTCACCTTGGACATCTGTGCATTGTAGGTGTTAATGGAGTGAAGAAGATGGGGAACTACTTAATTTGATAAACATCTACTGAATCCCTTTAACGTACAAGAGTCAGACAGATTTAAGTTCATATCCCAGCTCTGCCATTAATTTTGTTTTGATGTTACCAAACCGTGGTGAACTTTAGCTTGCTCAACTATAAAATAATAATTACAGTAACTATTTCATAAGGTTATCAGGAGGAGTAAATGAAATAATGGCTGTATAATGTAAAGCATCTAGTATTGGGCTTAGCATACAGCAAGCTCAGTAAGTAATAGATCTTGTTATTTGTTAGGCAAAGAAATAAAACATCTTTATAGTTAGAGAAACATCTATGTAGCTGTATTGGAAAGCATCTACAGGAACCATCAGAGCTCTATTTTGGGGGCAAGAAGGAAGTCCAGAAAGATAGTCAAGAGTCAGATCTTGAAAGAAAGACTTCGTAAATGCCATGGTAAAAGGCATGAAAAAGAGAGGAAAGGAAAAGAAGGAAAAAGAGAGAGTTCTCAGATAGCAGAGGCCATGGTCAATTATAGTTTAGAAACACCTCTCTAGTAACAATATAAAAAATGATTCAGAGGGGGATAAAAATGAGAGCCTTTTTAGGAGGCTGTGGCCATACTCCAGATAGAGCACATAAGCTCTGAAGATGGATGGACCAGGAACTGATTTTCAGCTCTACCACTTGCTATGTGATCTTAAACAAGGGATTTAATTTTCTGAGCCTATGTTTCCTCACCTATAAAATGAGAATAATTGTTCCTACTTGATAGGGTAGTTCAGAGAATTACACAGATTGTATATATAAGACACATAGACTAGTTCATGTCACTTTGTACCCAGAAATTATTGTCTGTTACTATGAATTCTCTATCTAGTACTATTAATATCTTAGTTTGGATTTGTAATCACAGGATGTTTAACAATTTTTGTCACTTCTCACTTCTATTCATTTTATATCTTTCTACTCTTATCCAGTAAATGACCCAATTCCACTTAAAACATAAATACCACATATATCATCAAATAGAATGGGCTTGCCATTTCGTTATCCTATCTTGGTTGGATTTCCTAGTAAACTCTAAAGCAGAGATTTGGGGGGTGGGGGTTATTGGGGAATGCTCTAGAGAACAACATCTGTAAGGAAAGGAAGGAAGCAGCATTGGGCAGAGGGAAAGGTTGAACTACAGTGCATGTAGAGAGGCCTTAGGAAAACTTTGGAGCTGGAGTGGTCTTTCATAGTTGTCCCATAGAAAGGCAAGGAGGTGGTATACCTTTGTTCGTTCCCCGTCAAGCAGTTACCTAACATGGGCTAGCCTTGGGAAGAGGCGTACTCTTGGGTAAGATAGCACTCCTGGCCTGGCCCGTTCCTGAAGAGGGACTCAACCAGGCACCATCAGCAATTAATATTCCCAGTGGATAAAGCTCTTGGTCCTGAAGGGGTGTTTTGACTACACACAGTATCCATTTATATACCACTTTAACGTTTCCCACTGATTGTTGTAGATCAGTGTCCCCCAGGGGACATTTTTGGTTGTCACTAGGAAGTGGATGGAGGAGAGGGGAGAGTGGTTGCTACTGGCATCCAGTGGGTAAAGGCTAGGGATGCTGTTGGACATGCTAACATGCCCAGGTCCCCCCCACTCAACAAAGAGTTACCTGGTCAAAAATGACAATAGTAACACTGTCAAGTAATTCTTTTCTAAAATAGAGGGATTCAGGATCTGAGCCTCACAAGGCATAAATAAGATTCCTTAAAGGGCTTTCGGTTCCAGCCCACCACCCAATTGGGTATTACTCACTCAGGCAATGAGAGTATTGTAAGCCACAGAATCACACCCTTTACCTCCCTCTTTCTGCCTTGACCCTGTCTCTCCTGCCCTCCCCCCATAAATACCAGAGAAAAGTTCCAAAGACATAAATTATGTTAGGTATTATTAAACATTATAATTATATATCCTATACCTAATAATTATTTTTTACTATTCTACTGAGTGCTATTCAGCATACACTGTTCAATAATTTTTAATTAATTGAAATAACAAACTTTTTCTTAAAGACAGAAAAAAAGTATGCTCTTCCAAAAGTAATCTTCTGTTTTTTCTTATTTTCTCCTTTTATGAATTACATTCTCTGGAAATTATTATCCTTTTTTTTAAATATTTTATTTATTTATTTGACAGAGAGAGATCACAAGCAGACAGAGAGGCAGGCAGAGAGAGAGGAGGAAGCAGGCTCCCCGCTGAGCAGAGAGCCCGATGCGGGGCTCGATCCCAGGACCCTGAGATCATGACCTGAGCTGAAGGCAGCGGCTTAATCCACTGAGCCACCCAGGCGCCCCTGGAAATTATTATCTTGATGAAAATTTTAAATCAGAATACTGTAACAAAGGATTTTTTTCTGCTCATAAGGTATAAACAAACGTTACTATTTTAGTGCCATTGAGTAATATATTTTTAAAAACATCTGAAGGTTATGCTAACCCTTCAGTTAAGTTTCTGTTTTCTTCAAATATATTTATAGAGCATAGTCTGAAAGTCAAGGTTAGAAAAGCCAGTGATTTTCTTCTTCAAATGGAAATTTACTGCTCATAAGAAAGAAACCAATTTAACATCCCCAGGGGTCACAGTCTTCATCTTAAAGATAGGTGTGTTGTGCCCCTCAACAGTGCAGGCTTAGTATCCAATATGTTTTTGTTTGCTCCCCATATGTGTCAGTTTTTTTTTTTTTTTTTTTGTGATTGAGGTATATGACCCTTCATAAATCATTCAGTTGCTTATTAACTTCTTTATCTCCCTACTCTTGGATCAAAGGTAATATAGCCTCAGGGTAAAAGATCTTTAGCCTCCTTTTGCTCTTCTTTCATCAAGTTTTACCTTACTCTTACACAAAATATATATGTAAATACAAAAATACAAAATATATAAAAAATAAATATATGAACACATATAAACACACACACACACGTATATGCATATATATAAATGTATCTGGTTGTTCCTTGGTAATCAAGTACGTTTCTGTATCCGATCAGAGTTAGTGTGGTGGATGCTTGTGTCCTGTCCTATGTCTCCAGCCCTGATAGGGTGCACCAGGGATGCAGGAGAAGGAGGGAAGATCCTGCCTCTGGGGCAGCCTGAACTTATCGAGTGTGTCTCTCTTTCTGAGCACAACATTGGGAGAGCCTAACAGGATCTCACTGACTTCAAATCAAACATTTTAGTTTTGATTAGAAATATTTTCCATTCCATCACCTTTTTTCTTCTGACAACAAGTTTTTTCTGTGGGATGTGTATGGATACCCCTGGTGGAATGTATTCTTAATTACTGATTTGTGTTTATCATGACTTGTGTTATTACCATTGTATGCTTTGGCAAAGCAAAAATATACATATTTAGATGTAGATCTATCACTACTCCTATAATTTTAAAGTCAGCTTTCATTTACCAGTAACTGAATGAAGCATTTTTCAAAGTGTCTCATTCTTCACAACAACTAATGTTTGTTGCATCCTTCTCTGAGCCAAATATTCAAAGTCTTATACATGGATTATCTCATTTAATTATCTCAGCAGTCCTGGAAGCTAGGTACCGTTACTTCCCTGATTCTACAGGTGAATATATTGCACTTTAGAGAGGCAGCAGTCAGTTTTGGCTGTCATTTGACAACCCATTTCTAGTATTGGAATGAGTAATGGAAGATTCATACATTTTTCTTTCCTTTTTTTACCCACTCTTGGAAGAAATTGCACTGCCATCCGTAAGCAGTCTGGAAAACTGAACTAACGTTCTGCAGTATATTCAGGGATTAAGAGGCCTAATGGATTTATAGCTGCTAAAACCTGGAGAACAGTCCTTACAGGACCCCTAAATAGGTTTTTCATACAAAGTGGCTCACTTGTCAGGCAACTAACTATCTGTCATTTCTCTTAGGTTATGGAGGGACTCTTCAAGACTACAACAATGATGGTTCTCTCAAACTGTCCTGAAGATGTTGAACTCTGTCACAAGTTCATAGCTCCTGGCCAAAAGGTAATTAGTTTTGTGGATGAAGTCTAATACATCTACTCTTTAAATATGTTAATTACATATCATAAATATAATTACATTTAACAAATTTTTTTTCTCTTTTCTTACCAAGGACAGATTAGAACATATGCTAAAAAACAACTTTTTAATGTAAGTAGATATTATACTTTCTTTGAACTTTATTCATATTTTATCATAGTATTTATCACACTATTAAAGTTTTTTGTTTATATATGTGCTTATCACAAGGAAGACCCATGTTTTAAATATTTTTGTAGCTCTTATATCTGGTTCATAGTTGATAATCAATGTTTCATGAATAAATAAATGAATAAATCTAGCAAGATAAATGAACACAGTCATTAGTAACTGAATTAATGCAGTTCAAACTAGTATTAACTTTAGTAATAAAAATTTGGCTCAAGTAAAAGACTTTTATTTTGGGGCACCTGGGTGGTTCAGTCAATTAAGCTTCTGACTCTTGGTTTCAGCTCAGATCATGATCTCAGGGTTTCAAGATCAAGCCCTGCCTTGGGCTACAGGCTCAGTGCAGAGTCTCCCTGTCCCTCTCCTTCCCCCCTTCCCACCCCCTTCTCCATTCACACTGGCTCGTGTACTCACACTCTCTCTCAAATAAATAAATAAAATCTTTTTTAAAAACTTCAGTATAATTAACATAGGGCGTTATATTAGTTTGAGGTGTATAGTGTAATGATTCAGCAATGCTATATGCTATATTCAGTGCTTATCATAATAAGTGTACTCTTAATCCCCTTCACCTGTTTCACCCATTCCCCCACTCATCTCCCCTCTGGTAACCATCTGTCTGTTATCTGTAGTTAAGAGTCTGGTTTTGGTTTGGTTTGGTTTGGTTTGGTTTGGTTTTTTGCTTGTCTATTTTTTTCTTTATTTTTTAAATTCTGCGTATAAGTGAAATCATGGGGTAAATTTCTTTCTCTGACTGACTTACTTCACTTAGGGTTATGCTCCCTAGATTCATCCATGTTATTGCAAATGGCAAGATTTTGTTCTTTTTTAGGGCTGAGTAATATTTCATCATGTGTATGTACCACATCTTTACCCATTCATCTATCAGTGGACACTTGGACTGCTTCCATAGTTGAACTATTGTAAACAATGCTGCAATAAACATAGGGGTGCATGTATTTTTTCAAATGAGTGTTTTTTTATTTTGGGGGGGAAATACCCAGTAGTTGAATTACTAGATCATATGGTGGTTCTGTTTTTAAGTTTCTGAGGAATCTCTATACTGTTTTCCACAGTGGCTGCACCAGTTTGCATTCCTGCCAGTAGTGCATGAGGGTTCCTTCTCCACATCCTCACCAACACTTGTCATTTCTTATGTACTTGATTTTAGCCATTCTGAGAGGCGTGAGATGGTATCTCATTGTAGTTTTGATTTGCATTTCCGTGATTAGTGATGTTGAGCATCCTTTCATGTGTCTTTTGGATATCTGGATGTTTTATTTGGAAAAATGTCTGTTCGTGTCTTCTGCTCATTTTTAATTGGATTATTTGTTTTTCGGGCATTGAGTTTTATCAGTTCTTTGTATATTATAGATACTAACCCTTTATTGGATACGTTATTTGCAAATATCTTCTCCTGTTTTTAGTAGGTTGTCTTTTAATTTTGTTGATTGGTTCCTTTGCTGTGCTGAAGATTTTTATTTTGGTGTTGTCCCAATAGTTTTGTTTTTGTTTCCCTTGCCTCAGAAGACATATCTAAAAATGTGTAGCTCTGGCTGAGGTGAGAGAAATTACTGCTTGTTTTCTCTTCTAGGATTTTCATGGTTTTAGGTCTCACATTTAGGTTCTTAATCCACTTTGAATTTATTTTTGTATGTGGTGTAAGAATGTGATCCAGTTTCATTCTTTTGTATGTAGCTGTCTAGTTTTCCCAGTACCATTTGTTGAAGATACTGTCTTTTTCCCAGCAAATATTCTTTCCTGCTTTGTCAAAGGTTAATAGTATGGTCAAAGATAATAGTATTGTATGTTTATTTCTGGGCTCTCTGTTCTATTCCATTGATCTATGTATCTCTTTTTGTATCAGTACTATACATTTTGATTACTACAGCTTTGTAGTATATCCTGAAATCTAGGATTGTGATACCTCCAGTTTTGTTCCTCTATTTCAATATTGCTTTGGTTCTTTGGGATCTTTTGTAGGATAGTTTGTTCTAGTTCTGTGAAAAATGCTGTTGGTTATTTAATAGGGATTACTTTAAATCTGCAGATTGCTTTGGGTAGTATGGACACTTTAACAGTATTTTTTTCCAGTCCATAAGCTTGGAATATCTGTTTGTGTCATCTAAAAAACAAACTTCTAAAATACATACATGTAATGTTAGCCCATCAGTTTTTCTCTATTTCAGTCTTCTTTTTATTTACCTTCAATTGCTCATATCTGGTTATATATTCTAAACTGTTTTTTAGCCACTTTTTTAAACTTAAAGATCTGTGTTTTAAGTATAACATATGTTATTCTTTCATTTCCACTACAGTCCTGTACAAGTAGTACTTGATATTGGACTGGTTATTTATTTCACTAAGCATACTAATCACATAGTCTCTTCCATTTTTTTTTTTTTAAGATTTTATTTATTTGTCAGAGAGAGAGAGGGAGAGAGAGCAAGCACAGGCAGACAGAACGGCAGGCAGAGGCAGAGGGAGAAGCAGGCTCCCTGCCGAGCAAGGAGCCCGATGCGGGACTCGATCCCAGGACGCTGGGATCATGACCTGAGCCGAAGGCAGCTGCTTAACCAACTGAGCCACCCAGGCGTCCCAGTCTCTTCCATTTTAATAAAACAAACACATACTTAATATGGAAAAAGAACAATATACAATCTTTTCATAAATAGTACAATTTATGTAAGACTTAGTATTCATGTATAGGAGGTAAATTTGATACTCAGAAGAATAGAAAATTGTTTCTAAGTATAATTTGATGTCATTCTCCACTTACTATCATTAGGTTTAGGAAGTTTTTGTTCTAAGAGAACAAAGAATTCGACCTGTCCTGGAGAAGGGTAATAAGAAAAAGTTGGCAGACCTCACTGAGCTGAGAATTTCAGGTATCAGTGTAGACCTTGAGACTTCAAGTTAAAAGTGGTGAGTCCTCGAGCCTGAATGAACAGCAAGGCAACAGATGTGAGATCAGAAAAAGAGGAAATAGGAGGCCCCTGATAGAGAATCGAAAGGCAGTGAAGTACAACTGAAGGCTTTTGAGGTTTTTTTCTTCTTTCACTGTAGTGTATATTGAGTATGTTAACTAACCAGAATTTAAATAAAAACTTGGAAAAAGAAAAGAGTGTCTATTGAATATTCACAATATGCCAAACTTGTTCTAGAATCTGAACAAACTGTCTAAAAGCAGTGAAAATAGCAGACAAAAATTCCCCGTCTTCATTGAGCTTACATTTCTGGGAGTAGTAATAAGAAACAAGAAATAAGAATAATAGTGAAATCTATAGTCTGTGAGAATGAGTTATAGTAAGTGGGAAGAAACCCAGAGAAGGGAAAGATGAGAAGACAAAAGAGTAAGGAGGTAGAAGTTTTAGATAACGTAACAGAGACCATCTCACTGGGATGATTTTTGAGTAAAAATTTAAAGAAAGTGAGAGAACTAGCTGTATGGATGTGTGGGAAAAGAATATTTTAGGCAGAGGGAATGGCAAGTACAAAGTCTTCTAGGTTGGAGCATGCCTGGTATATTCAAATAGTGGGGTGGGTAAGGGAAAAGGATAATAGAAGATAAAGAAAGGAGGTGAGAGGTGGGAAAACATGTAGGGCCTGGTAGGTCGCTGTGAAGAGTTGGTTTTCTCTTGAGTGATGTGGGGAAGCCATGGAAGGGTTCTATACAGAGGACTGATAAGAGCTGAATTGGATTTAACAGGATCACTCTGGCTGCTAGTTGAGAACAGGCTTTAGAGTGAGAGCAGAAAACCAACAGGAGATTATTACAGTCATCTGGGTGAGAATAAATGATGGTTTGGACCGTGTATTAGATTCATACAGAGAAACAAAACCAACATGATGTATATAAAGAGAAAGATTTATTTTTAAGGAACCATCTCACACAATGTAGAAGCTTGTTGAGTTCAAAATTTGATGGAGTAGTTCAGCAGGCTAGAGACTCAGGGAAGTGTTAGCAGCTGGAGTCTGAAGGCATTCTGCTGGCAGAATTCCCTCTTTCTTGGCCAGTCTTTGTCCTCTTAAGGCCTCCAACTAATTGGACATGGCCCACTCACATTATGGAGGGTAACGTGCTTTACTCAGAGTTCACTGATTTAAATGTTAATCTCATCCAGAAATACCTTCACAGAAACATCCTGAATGTTTGACCAAGTGTCTGGGTACCATAGCCCCGCCAAGTTGACACATAAGATTAACCATCATAGGCCAGGACGGTGTCAGTAGAGATACAGAGAAGTTGTTCTATTCTAGATACATTTTCAAGATAGAACAAACAGTATTTGTGGAGAATGGGAAAGAGGGAGAAGTCAAGTGTGACTTCAAGTCTTTTGTCTTATACAGCTGTAAAAATGGAGTTGCCATTAACTGAAATTGGGAAAGCCATTAGAGTAGCAAGGGGTTTGGGGGGAAATGGGGGTGGTATCAGGATCAATATCATCATGTATCATGTTAAGATCGAGATGGTTTTTAGACATCCAGTTGTAGATGTTGGGTAGGCAGTTTCAGTGTACAGATCTGGAGTTTACAGGAGAGCTCTGGACATTGCGTATTGATAAAAGTACTAAGTAAGCAGGGAAGGAAAGAATTAATTTGGGCATCCTAAGGAATCTGTGCTGGTGACAGAAAATCAGGGAGAATGTCTTAAGTGAAGCTAGTGAATAAGATCTAAGATTGGAAAAAAATATCTACCATTTATTGAATATTTGCTGTGTGCCAGAAGTGATAAACTTTACGTACATAAATGTAAAAAAAGTTCCTTGTATCTTCACAACTCTGTGAGTAGTTATTATTGCTCTTCTGTGGGTGAATAATCAATTCAAAGAGATTAAGCAAGGAAAAGATGAAATGGGAATTCAAACTCATTTAACCTGATTTCAAAGCTCATGCTTTCGGCCACTCACTACACTTCGAAAGGGCACTGGAATTAATGCTAGAGTAGGTGTAGCTCTTCACTGTCCTTATGACCCTCACATATCACTTGTGCTTTGGAGTCCGGGTCTGTAAAATACTGAGGTTGGGAAGTGACCTCATGGGCTGTGCCACACCAGTCATTGCCAGCAGTATCATCCATTCCACATCGTAAACCGTAGCTGTGGTTTAAATGTATACCTGTGATGATTTGTTTAGTATTGTCACCTCCATGTGGTCAGAGACTTGTTTATTTTGTTTACTGTTACACCCCCAGTGCTTAGTGCCTCTAACAGGAGCTCAGTAAATATTTATTGAATAACTGAATGAATGAGTAAATGACATTTGAGTAGCCATGGGAGTGAGAGTGTTCTCCTTTAGGCTAGGTCCTCTCCCTGAGGTTTCCTGGTAACCCCTATCACTGTTTACTTTGGTCACTAAGTGTAGTGAGCTATGACTCAAAGGATCTGGATTCTAATTCTGGCTATACTTCTTATCCGCTCTTAATGAATATGTTAGCACTTTCCAGCAAATATTTACTGACTCTCTACTATGAGTTAGGCATTGTGCTATTCATTGATGATCCATAATATAAGCATGGATTGGTCCTTTTATGGAATTTAAGATCTAGAGAAAAAGATGAATAGTTAACTGTTTGCATGAAAGATTATTTAATCACAACTGTGAACTTGATGAATAGTGAATCTTTAACCTTTCTGAACTTGAGTTTCCTCATCTATAAAGTTATAACTTGTCTGTCATATCATTTGTAAGGATCAGTTGGCCATACTGCTTAAGCAATGTGCCAGACTACGTAACATAACACTCCTGCTATAAAACATCTAAAAATGCTTGTTAAAAATTATAAAAATCCAGGGCACCCGGGTGGCTCAGGTCCTGATCCCAGGGCCCTGGGATGGAGCCCCACATCAGGCTCCCTGCTCAGCTGGAGGCCTGCTTTGCCCTCTCCCACTCCCTCTGCTTGTGTTCCCTCTCTTGCTGTCTCTCTCAAATAAATAAATAAAATCTTTTTAAAAAAATTATAAAAATCCTTTTAAATACTTTGTTGAGTTCACTAGAAAGTAAGAGAAGTTCCAGGACCTACAAATGAAGAGGGAACTGAGCACCAGAGGGGAACACATAAATAGCATAACACTGAGGTTTCTCAAGGTGGAGGGTATGGTAGATGGTGGAGGGCCCCTGGTGGGGGTGGGGGAGTTGCCAGCCTTTGAAGCCAGAGATTTTAACAGCCATAAGAGGACGTGAAAGTAGACCTAAAGTTGATGAATTAGAATCGAGATATTCCCCAAAAGTACACACATGCATACCTGTGCACACACATGCACACACACATACAGAAGATACCGTGTGACTTATATTCCTTTGCATAAATAGATTTCATTGTATTCTTGACTACTTATAATTGTTTTATATGAAAGTAAATAATTTCAAGGACTTGTACAATAATTGAATTTAGCCCTTACCAAGCAGAAATAGAATTCAATTATTTTTTATGTCTCCTTTATAGCATTAAGGTTTTTAAAATATAGAGTACTTACCGTTTTTTGCTCTTCATTTATCTGTGAATTTGAGTCAAAGAATGGTAATAATTTTAGCCTAGCAATTATAACCCAACAGATTGAGAATGGTTTTCTTAAACCCTAACAAAAATTTAAACATAAGGGAAGTTTGATCCTACATCATGTAGTATCCCTATATCTCCTCCTCCCATCCTCAAAGTACTTTAGAAGTAGCTTCTGAGAAGAGATATTATTCTCTGTACATATCAAAAAATTAGGAAAGAGAGTTGATAAAAGCCATTAAGGATATCCAGTGTCAGAGCTATAATTTGATCTGAGAAGCTCTGCCTCGGGTTAAGGTATGGGAGGAGTAGGGCAGAAGATCCAGAATAACAAGAAATACACAGAAAGTCATTTTTTAAAATAATGTAGCAGTAAGATATCAATGGCACAAAATCTCTGTGCCTTCTCTCTTTGACTGCTCTTATATTTCTCAGTATAAGGAGTAGATCATATCCAGTAAGTGATGGAATAGAACGATGGAATATCTAAGTAAAGAACTGTAGACAATATAGTCCAATCTCCTTATTTTACGAGTACAAATACTTAATTTTTTTAATGGTTGTATAGAACATTCCAGAAAGGTATAAAACGCTTTCATTAAGGTGAAGTGATTTACGTACTAGCCATTTAGGGGTAGAGGCAGAGGGAGAACTCCAAGCCCATTGTCTTTGTTTTGATTGAGCATATTAAACTCCAAGTGTTTTAGGCATTATCTCAGTAGTTAAAAGCTTCAGCTTTGAAGTCAGCACATCAGGTTTATCACTTACTTACATGAATAATTTTGGCCATGTTACTGTCCCCTCTAACCTCCCTTTTCCCTTCTGTAAAATGTTTTAAAAATGACTAGTACCACCAACACCACTATCATTCTTGCCTTAGAAATTTTTACTTAATACTAGATTTAGATTTGAGTAAGATTTTCATCTTGGAAAAAAATCGCTCAAAACATAGCTTTGAAGGCTTCATTTGTGCTATATACACAACTCCTTCCAAACGGTTATTATAGGTATGAATTTAATTTTTCCTTCGAAGAGTAAGTTTATGTTGGGCAACTTATTCTTTTAGTTTAAAGTCCTTCAGAAAGTTTGTAGGTTTGGGGGTTTTGTTTGTTTTGTTTTTGGGGGGTTTTTGAGGGCAGGGTTTTTTGGATGTTCTACTGTGGATTTTTGTTTTTAAGCATGCAGAGTACTGTTTCGGGACACCTGGGTGACTCATTCGGTTAAGTATCTCCCTTCCCAGGGTTCTGGGATCAAGCCCTGTGTTGGGCTCCCTGCTCAGCAGGGAGTCTGCTCCCTCTACCCCCCCCCCAACTCATGCTCTCTCTTGCTGTAATAAATAAATAAAATCTTAAAAAAAAATGTTCAAAGTACTGTTGCAAAGGGCATAGGGAAACTGACATTTTCGTATACTACAGGTGGGCATAAATTGGTATAACACTATAAAAGGGAAGCAGTATCTTTGGCAATATCAAAATACCTAAAAACTGTAAATATAAATACAATGATCCAGCAATTCCATTTTTTCCATATGCAAAATCAATATTTAAGAATCATTTGTGACCGATGTATGTAGTCTTGGTTTATAATAGCAAAATATTAGAAACAGCTTAAATATCCATCAGTAGATGAGTGGGTAAATTAATGAGTATACAGCCACAAAATGGACTTTTATGTAATAGTTCAAAAAAATGGAGAAGCTCTTTCTTTATATACTGATATGGAAAGATCTGCAAGGTATATTATTGAGTCAAGAAAGAGTGTTTATGGCATGTATACTATGGCTGCCATCTATTTAACAAAGGAGATTGTATATTACTATTTGCTTATAGATGTAAAAAACCCTCCTGAAGGATACACAAAAATCCAGTGACAGTGATTTTATGTGAGGAGAGGAGCTACATGGCTGTGGGACAGGGTGGATGGAAGATGTACACTCTTAGACGTTGTTTGTTTCTTAACTGTGTTCATTTAATTACCTATTCAGTTTAATTAAAACAAATGCTTGGCTTAGCTTGCTTTAGACATGATAGTTTCTTACTGAGATAATCCATGATATTTTTCCTAAACAGTCTTACCATGCTTAGCATATATTACAAAGCCCCAGCCATGGCCTGAAAGAATCCATAAGATCTGACCTTTTCCTGGCATTCTTCCCCTGTTCAGTATGCCACAGGCACATTGACTGTTTTGTTCCTGGAATGAACCAAACTGTTCCTTCACTTCAGGCCTTTGTACTTACTGTTCCTTTTGCCTAGAATACTTACCCTCAGATACTTTTCTTACTTCACATGTCCCCAACTCAGTGAGTTCTTTATTGACCATCTTATCTAAAATAACACCCCTAAACACCCTCTGTCTTCTTAGCTTGCTTTATTTTTCTTATAGCGCCAATGGTTTCCAGCATTATATGCTTTCTGTTTACTTGTTTATCTCCGCCCCCCACCAACTCCCATTACTCAACGCACAAGTATCACCTCCATAAAGGCTTTGTTTTTATTTACTATCTCTCCAGTGCCAAGAATAATGTCTAGCACATAATAGGTGCACAATAAATGCGTATTGAGTGAATGAATGATGACTTTAAGGAAAGATGTTTGCTCTTTCAGCCTCAATATTTCACCCCTTTTATTAGGGCATTGACATAACATGAATTCAGAGAAAATCTTTACTTGCCTAAGTGACTGGTTCTTCTGTATATACTGCAGGTAGATCAGGAACGGGATTACTAAAAGGCCACTTCTCTTCGTTCTGCTCAGACTCTCATATGATTAGATCAGCCTTAATTCCTGATTACTCAGTGATGATTTATTTATAATCATTCCTGATTACTCAATAATCATTTAGTACTGATTTGTGACCTCAAAGACTGTATGGGAAGAGACCTTTTACAATTTTTCCGATGGACTGATTAGCAGTATACAATGTATTAACCTTTCTCTGCTTTTACCCTGTTCTTTTCCAGCATTTCTTACACTGAAGCAATAGAGATCTTAAAGCAGGCATCTCAGAACTTCACCTTCACCCCAGAGGTAATATTTATATTTATATTCATATTTATATTCATATTTGTATTTTACCCCCTCTTGTCCTTATCACATTTCATTAAGAATCCTGGGGCACCTAGCTGGCTCATTTAGTAGACCATGCAACTCTTGGCCTCAGAGTTGTGAGTTCAAGCCCCAAGCTGGACGTAGAGCTTACTTAAAAAAAAAAAAAAAAAAGAATCCTTTAAAATAATCTTAATTCTCTAGGGCACCTAGGTGGCACAGTCGGTTAAGCATGTGACTCTTGGTTTTGGCTCAAGTCATGATCTCAGCATCCTGAGATTGAGCCCAGCATCAGGCTCTGTGCTCAGCACAGAGTCTGCTTGTCCCTCTCCCTCTGCTCCTCCCCACAACGCTCGCTCACTCTCTCTCTCTCTCTTTCACTCTGGAATTAAAAAATAAAATATTTTAAAATAAATAAATAAATAAATAAATAATCTTATTTTTCTTATTAACACTGTTTAGTATTTGCCCATCTTTAAATTGGCTTTTTTTGATGTTTGCTTAACCTTGTTAAAATATTTAGAATAAATAATAATTTTGAAGTAGAATATCGATTTTAATAGTAATGGTTAAAGTATTGTAAAGAAGTTTCCCAAGTTTTTGATGAAAATCCTTGAAAAGAATGGTAATATGTCCAAAGAGGCCACATGATTTATCAGTGGACATGCATATAATATTAGAGGCAAGTCTCCTCATTCCTATGCCAGGGCTTCTTTCCTATAATTAACATATTGGCAGACAAGTAGGAATTATATAATGTTAGGAATGTACTGTAATAACTTTGTCTTCAAACTGTTCCTACACCAGTCCTATCCCCACTTAAGTCAGATCCTCTTATGAGGTGTAATAGTTGTGCTTGTTATAATTAGTTATTTTGTTTATGTAATTTTTTATTTGTTTTTTATCTCCTACCCTGGAAGCTTCATGAAGTCAGGAATTCTGATTTTCTTACCACTGTGCTCAGTACCTAGTATGGTACCGGCATTTAATAGGCACATTAGTATTTGTTGAATAAGTAGATGAACAGTGTTATTAAATATTCATCAGAGCATCTGATATATGAATTGACTCTTTTATTAAAAAAAATTCACTGAGAGAAGCCATCTAGCCAGAGATAGACTCAATATTAAGAATATTATCTTTCATCACTTAATTTCCTGCAACCTCAGAACAGTAACCATAGAAGAAGCTTTAGGCAATATTAATAAAAACTATGACTTTGAAGTCAGTTTTTACACTTTTACACACTGTGGGAAGGGTACTTTGTTTTCCTGCAGATGCTGTTCATCTGCTAAATGCTGCTCCTCAAGATGGGGAGAGAAAGCACAGCATTTATCTACTTGGTTCGGCTTTCATCTTTCCAAGGCCTTTGGCTGTTCTTGTAACACACCTCCCTGGCTGAGTTATCTGTGTAGCCTCAGCAGACGGCTCCACATATCACTGATCCTCAGAGGAGGCCCTTGGAACCAATACAGGTTATTTTCGGGTACCACATTGTGTATCTCAGCTCTGTCTTCTCCTTTGATAATTTCTTCTTTCTCATTACAGTGGGGTGTCGATCTACACACCGAACATGAGAAGTACCTGGTGAAGCACTGTGGCAGCATACCAGTCTTTGTCATTAATTATCCATTAGCACTCAAGCCTTTCTACATGAGGGATAATGAAGATGGGCCTCAGCACACAGTAAGAAAAAGCACTAAATAAATCGGGGTTGGTCGTCTCAGAGTCTGGGTTTTTCCCTTGATTTAATTTCATTTATCCTTTGGCATATTTTTAAGAATTATATCTGTCACACTTGACGTCTCTTAAAATTTCTCCAAGGTACCTCTGAAAAAGTGTTCCCAAAGAAGATCCCAATGTTCTTGAAGCATACTTGTTATTTCTGTCACATGGTGTCCTTCTTCATTTAGCAGATGCACATGTAAATGTGTTTTGTATTCTTTGGTTTTTTGTTTTGTTTTTTAGGGAACCATTCTGTGTTATATTTATTGATATTTCAATTACGTATGATATTTGTCACTGCCTTTGACACTCTAATTAGAAGTGTCAACAAAATTTTTTTTTTTAATTTTAAATAATTGGGAGGAGTTAGCCCAGAAAACTGTTTAGCAGTGCCAGGTCTGCTGTCAGCTGAAATACTGGTAAAGAGATGGAGGGATGGGGGGATGTGGGGTAAGAAAGGAGAGCAGTGGCGTGAGCAGGCAGAGGAAGAGCTAGCCCTCAGAGCAGGAGGCTCAGAGTTTTTGGTTTGGTTGTCACACAGAAATTGGGAGGGGAGAAGATGGAGGGATCTGAGAGGTCTAGGCAGATTCTCCTGTCACTTCTCTTCTGCCTGTCTTGTCTCTGTCTCTCTCTTTCTGCTCTCTACTCTCTCACACTCTTTCCTTTTTTCACCCTTAGTTTTAATTGCTTTCTTATTCTTCTAGTTGGCTTTTTCCTTCTTTTCTTCTTTTGTCTCTTCGTCCCTCTCTAACAAAATTAGCAGTAATATAAAATAAGAATATATTTGAATCTTTAAATACTTATTGAATAGTTATATACTTAATATCATTAATTATAAAAGTCTGTGAGATGTTATGTTTATCTCACAAAAGACCCAAAAAACTAAACTTTGCTCTCTGATGCTTTTCACTTGTCTCTAGGTAAATACCAGTAGAAAAATGTAGATCAGGGCCCAGGGGTAAATAATCAGTATTATTTATCAATCAGTAGATTCCTATCAGGCAAACACTCCCATCTCATCTCTAAGTCCCAGAACAACCTTTCCAAGAAACTTACTATTTCTCCCATTTTACAGATGAGAAGCAAGGGTTCAGGGACACAGATTGCACTTGCCAAGCTCCGTAGGTAGTGAATGACCGAGTTTGTGATCAGACCTGACTCCCTGTGGTTCTGAAGACAGTGCTCTTCCGCCTCTAAGCCATAAATATAAAGTTACATTGATTTCACTTTCACACAGTATTATCCAAAACCATTGAGCAGCACAGTTGATTTATGATTCTTATTTTCTCTTTTCCCTACCAACCCTCTGGTATAATTGATTATGAGAAAGGAATTGGCCCATAGGTTGGCAGCAAAAAAAGGAGACTAGGGCATAGATTCTCCAAACCTAAATAATTCAGTATTGAGTCTCTATCACCAAACAGGACTGCATCTGTATCTCTTGGCTTTTTTATCACTCCACCCCATCCTATTTGTACCTCTCGACCCCCACCACACACACACACACACACACACACACACACACACACACTCTCCATGTAGTCTTTGCATGTAATTTCCCAACATTCAGCACTTTTCAGTCATTCAGTTTTGCACTTCGTAAATACTCTGCTTAAAGCTCTCCTTTCTATTCTCATAATGTTGTATGGTGACAGATGGTGACTATATTTATTGTGGTGAGCCTTGAGTGATGTATAGAATTATTGGGTCACGGGGCCCCTGGGTGGCTCACCTGGTTACGCATGGCCTTCAGCTCAGGTCATGATCCCAGGGTCCTGGGATCCAGCCCCGAATTAGGCTCCCTGCTCAGCGGGGTTTCTGCTTCTTCCTTCCCTCTGCCTGCCCCTCTGCCTACTTGTGCTCTCTCACTCATTCTGACAAATAAAGTCTTAAAAAAAAAAAAAAGAAAGAAAGAGGGGTGCCTTTGTGGCTCAGTGGGTTAAGCCTCTGCCTTCGGCTCAGGTCATGATCCCAGGGTCCTGGGATCGAGCCCCACATCTCTCTGCACAACAGGGAGCCTTCTTCCCCCACTCTCTCTGCCTGCCTCTCTGCCTACTTGTGATCTCTCTCTGTCAAATAAATAAATAAAAATCTTAAAAAAAAAAAAAAGAAAGAATTGCTGAGTCACTGTGTTGTACACCTGAAATTAATAAAACATTGTGTCAACTACAGTAGTTCAAAAATTAATTCATTGAAAATGTTTTAATTGAAAACTTTGCCTCGCTGTAGACTTTTCTTAGTTACCAGCTCACCCTGAGTCTTCCTTTTCTGGGTTCCTATACCATTTAAAAAATCAGTAATACTGGTAGCATTGTTTCTATTTTTTGTACTCTGTAGGTTTTGCTTTCTCAGATGAACCCCTTAGCTTATTCAGTATGGGAATGAGTGTTTTATAGCCACCATGTCTTCTGTTGCTCATTCCTCATTCCCTCTACTGTGACTTCCACCCCTGTCATTGTACCACTGAAGCCCCCCTTTCTAGGGTCAGTAATAATTTGTCACATTATTAAATCCATCAGACTTTGTGTTTACTTCCCCTCTCAGCATTACTCAGCCCTATGAATGACTTTCTTATTCTGAAAACTGTCTCCTCCCCCGGCTCCCGTGACATCGTGTTCTCTTCCATTCTCTGGGGTGGCTCTTTCTCAATCTCCTAGGTAGGCCCATCCTCTTCTACTACTCCAGTAGTTGATAGGATTCCTCAAGGCTTTGTGTAGGTCTTTTCTCTCTCGGGGGATTTCATATGTGTATTCATAGCTTACTATTTATTTTCAGACAACTGAGACAGTCACATCTCTATTCCTTACTTCTGCTCAGGGCTCTTATTGCCGTTTATATATCTCAAAGGCATCTCAGCATAATCTAAAACCGAACCCACCGATGATTTCTATTCTTCTCCCGTTCCCCCACCAAATTTGATGTTTTTTCAGTGTTCCTGTCCATCTAATTGTACAAGCCATATACTAGAGTCATATTCCTCACTCCCTATATCCAAGCTGTTATTACATTGTCATTTTTATGCTTTGAAATAAATCTCAAATCCATCTACTTCTCTTCATTTCCACTTTTACCTTCTTGGATTAAGATACCATCATATCTTGGCTGGATTGTTTCTGTAGCCTCCTGACTGGTCCTCCTGCATCTGCTCTTGCCTTCTCTGAATCAGTTCTCCCCACTTCAGTGTAAGCTCTTAGAAAATGTAGATCTGGTCCTGTTATTTCCCCTTTCAAAACCATTCAGTGGCCTCCCATTGCTTTTAGTATCCAAGTCAGAATCCTTTCTCTGGCTTCTAGGCCCCAGTGTCATCTGGCTGCTTGTCTCTCTTGCTTCATGTACCGTGCTGCTCCCTTTGCTGTCTCTGCTGCATTCATATCACCCTTCCAGGTCTTCAGACATGCACTGCTTTCTCTCACCACGGTATCTTTGGACATTGTGTTCCTTCAGTTTAGAACAATTTTCTTCACCTAAGTAATTTTACTATTTCTCCAAATCTCTACTCGGTCATCAATTCCCCGGAGAAACCTTCTGTGACCCTCTAGGCTGAGTCAGAGAACCCTGTTAGACACTAAAATGTTACCATGTTAAATTTCAGACCAAGACCTACTAAGTCATGATCCATCGTAATCCTTAACACAGTTGTAATTTTACATTATTTTTATGACTGTTTAATTAATGACTCTCCTCTTTGCCACTGGACTTGAGGACCTCCTTTTCATACATCATGGTATCCTAGCATAATGCCTGGAACATAGCAGGCACCTAATATCTATTTGGTGATAGGGGATTGAACAGATGGATGACTCGAACCCAACACATTTGTAGACACACAATGGACAGGTATTCAGTGAGTGACTCGATTTGCTAAGGAATTTCAAGGAAGCTAAAGAACAGCTTTTATTCTAAATTTTTTGAATGATGGTAACATAGTATAAAGGAAAGTCCAGTGGCTTTAGAATCAGACACTCTTGGATTCAAGTCCCAGGTCTGTGTGGTATAGACCACGTGATCTTGAATAAACTACCTAATTTCTTTGAGTCTTAGTTTCCCAATCCATAAAAACAAGATGATAATCTTAGTCCACAGTTGTGAGGATTAAATTAGACAATATGTGAAAAATATATAGCACAGTGTTTGGGGTGATGTGTAGTCAAAAAGCTTAAAGCCCTCTTTCCTTCTAAATTTTGATAAAATCGTTATTGTGATAAAGCATGATAATGTTAAAATATGTGTGTTGCAACATCAAACATGCTATTACACAATATTATTTAAAAGGCAATTCTTCCATAGACTGCAGTCACAAACATTTTTTACCTTTAGAACTAGCAGGAGGCCTTTATTGTGACAGACTCTGTAGTAATATGGTCTCACAGCTTGAAAGTTGAAAGCATTATAATGATACTTTAGAGTACTTATGTAATTTATACAGTACTATAACATATAGCTTCTCATAGCTAAATTATTAAAATTTAATTTATTGGGGCACCTGGGTGGCTCAGTTGGTTAAGCGTCTGCCTTCAGTTCAGGTCATGATCCCAGGGTCCTGGGATCGAGCCCCAGATTGGACTCCCTGCTCAGTGGGGAGCCTGCTTCTCCCTCGCCCTCTGCCTGCCGCTCCCCCTGCTTATGCTCTCTCTCTCTCCTGCTTAAATAAATAAATAAATCCTTAAATACCTTTTACATATATAATTTATTTAAACTATATATTTAGACATATATTATAACATTGATTCATTAACAACCTAGATTTCTTTTCAATCCACTTGTATAGAGTGCCTGCTTCTACCCCTACTTTATTTTTTTCAGTGGTGAGTGAGCACACTTTGGGCCAAATAACTAAGTTCTTGGCTTTTTTCAGAAGGGCTGTAATAACAGATTGTGGGTAGGGTTGCAAGAGTTTCTACAGTGGGTGCAATGCAATCTAAAAAATAAGACAGATATATTTCATAGGTGCCTTCCGTAGG